AACTTCCCGGTCTTCTTCAGAACCAAATCAGGATTACTTGGCATTATCACCACCTGCTGTCAAGGAGAGTAAATAGACGACAGTCCACCTCTTAGGGGTAGCAGGGGGCAGCAGTAGCTCAGGAGGTAGAGCTGTCGTTTAATAACTGGAAGGTTGGCGGTTTGATTCCCTAGTCTGTCCATTGTGTCCTTGGACAAGACACTAACCCCACCTAGCTCCCAGTGTGTGTCCTCCACTGGTGTATGATGGTGACTGTTGTGTGGCCGTGGTGGTGGGAGAGACCATAGGTGGGGCAGCCACGTTTCTGTCAGTCTGCCCCAGGGCAGCTGTGACTACAAATAGTTTACCACCACCAAGGTGTGGCTGTGTGAGTGAATGAATGATGTATCCAATATAAAGCACTTTGAGGGTCTCTGATAAAGCGCTATATGAAATCTGATGCATTATTATTAATATAAACAGTGCCCTTCAAGAAAAGCATAGGGTTTATTTTCTTTCCTTTTTTTGCCTAGGCAGATCCCTGCGACCCACTGAACATGGGTCCATCAGTTGAGAATCACTGCTTTATCACATCTTTGTGTGGTCAGTACCAACCTGCTAAACCAAAACACATCTCTATTAAGTATTTCAAACAAGCTGACAACATCTGCTTTCACACTCTGCTGTCAGCTGGACTCCACATTTTCAATCATATCAGACGGTGTGAGCTGAAACACCAGAAACCTGGTGTTTGTGTGTACACATGTTCCTACTCTACTGTTGTGGCTGTGACAACCACAGTCTGAAAAACATACTGCAGTAAAACCACCAACAGGACGCAAATAAACCACAACATGCCGAAAGACAGGGACACTGTTAACTCCAGAGTTTGAATCCATAACAACCAGAGTAAACAAAACAAAACAAAAAAACTCTACTTTAATAAGCGTGAACATCCCCGTTTGATGTTTTTCATATTGCAATGACTGTAACCTCACATTTTGGTAAATATCCTCACTTTCTCTCAGAGACTGAAACATATATTTCTGTTAAACATAGAGCTGGATACAGGCAGGGGCATCTTCAGACTTTGGTGACTGGGGTGGCCCAACCCATGCATGGTTGCACACAGACAAACAAATAAAAGAGGTTTTATTTATCCTTTCTTTTAAACCAATCTGCTATAGCCTACAACATTATATCTAAAACAGTAACAGTAGTTCTGTCCTTTAAAAACTCTTAACTCTGGTTTTTGGACAGGTTGTTGTTTACATTTAGAGACAAGTTCACCAGAAAAGGATGTCAGCTAGTAACAGCACCAAGAACTGCACATCAGCTGCCATCACTTTCTTCTCTGCCTTCCGGTCCAATTCACAAACTGTGGTTCTGATATCCTGAGGCTGGGTATAGTCCAAAAGCTCACAGTTTAGTTTGATTTGGATATCTTGGATAACAATTCCAATACATAATAGTCTGTATCAACTAATACTGATTTGATAATACAGATGATAATAAATGATAGAACCACCCAAATCATTCATCACAGGACCTTTAGGTGTAATGTAACATTTGTATATCCTGTGTGGTCCGGTGCATAACCCTTCCCTGCAGAACATTTGACTGTAATTCTAAAACAAAACAGGACGTGATGTACAGGGGTCAAAGCATGTAAGAACCAGCTCTCTGCAAACTTAAATAACTTATCACCATTACAGTGGTGGCATCAGACCAAAGCAGCTACAGGTTACAACATCTACTTTTATAGTGTAGGTGGCCTGTGGAATAGCCTGTGGAGTTTCAGCTCCTTTATAATGCCAGACAAATTTGAGTGTGTTCATTTTGCACCAAAAAAAAAACAAAACCTTTTGTATGAGAGCATCAGTTTACAGAGATGAAGCCACCACACAGAAGACTGAGATATACTTCAGAAGAAAATCACAATGCCAATTAGTCATTTTGCCCCTTAGCCTGTGACCTGTTGATGCATGTTGTTGTTCATCACCTGGAGATGGTTGAAACAGTCTTGTAAGGGAGATTTGTCTTCAAGCAAGCATGCTAATCAAGAATCTGCATGTAATCATTATGGTCCAGCTGAAGCAACAAATAAATACACGAGGAAAGAAAAGATGTGCTTAATAAATATTTATTTTAAAAAAAGCATATTTGCTGACTAACCAGCCTGTGATGATTAAATGCAGCTGATTAAGGAGTAATGTTATGGACATGGTAGAACAAAAAACATTAGACAATATATCCTCATAAATATGTGTTGGATATGATCAGTTCTCTCCTCTGCTCCTCCGCATGTATTCAGGAAGATGTTACAGGTACTGTATATTAAAGGTCTAACTAGGGCTGTCATGTTATCAGATTCTCACCTCACAGATATCATGGCCATGAAATATCACAGTTTACATTGTTTACTACATTTGGGTGATATTTATAGAAAACTTTAAAATAAAAAAACACAGACAGTAGAACTGAGGAAAGGCCAGACAAGGGTGGAGCATCAGGTTCACTTATAAACTTGACTAACAAATGCAGTGAACTAACTGTCATCATCTGTTCCAACAAAGTTTGGATCATCAATCTTGTGACTGAAACTTCTTTGGAGAAGACATTACCTCATTCAGTTATTGTTTGTCATGCTTTCATTTGATATTTCTCCATCTTGGGTCCAGGTTGCTGTGAACTCTGTAATGTTAAACCGTGCTTTTATTTTGAAGTGCATGACTTCTGCTGGATCATAAGTGAAATAACTAAATGAAAACAGTTAGAGGAGCAGTTATAAAGTAACGTTGGAAAAAAAGATGGAATCACATTGGGGAATCTTTTTCCGCAGTCTACGATATTCCAACACAGGCACACTTTCCAAGTTTCACATTTTCCTGCTGTTTGCTCTTGTTTTGCTTCTAATTGTATTGAGAAACCATCAGCATCTCAACTCTTAGCAGATGAGGTGAATGTTGAGGGGGCATTTTAATCAAACTACTGCAAAGTAGATTTTAGACACATGTGACACAAACTTCTCTACCAAGATTAGGTCGTCCAGAATGTTTTCCATCTTATCAGATGTGTCACTAATTTGAATTTTGTATTTCATATACATTCTGAGACACTTAACATATCTCTACACAGAGCACTGCAGCCAAACACTGAGCGGGAACACAGTGAGGTTTGTTTTCTGGTTTATTTCAAAGAACCAGTGACTCTAAAGCGTTGATGGGGTGAGCAGAGAGAAAGGCAGAAGGAAAGAATGAATGGGGACCAATTTAAAGAAAGAGAGGAGGATAAAGACTGACAACAAGTAGGAAACCTCTGGTACATGCGTCAGCGTGGAAGGCGACACCTCTGGACCAGTGAAAGTTTCCACGACATAGACACACATCAACACACACAAACACGTGTTTCAGCAAACATGTTGAGTAAGGTGTGTGTGTGTGTGTGTGTGTGTGTGTGTGTGTGTGTGTGTGTGTGTGTGTGTGTGCATGTAGGTAGGTGTGTGTATTTTGAAAGGAGTGGTAGATTTCTCTGAAGACGAGGTGACTGTTTGCGGTGTTGGGTGGGAATATGGGTGGTGGCAAGGGTGTGCATGGGGTGGAGTGAATCTGTATGTGCGTGTGTGTCTGTGTGCATGTGTAAGTGAGGGTTTATGAGGCCACGTAAGGGTGTGGCATGTCAAAGTGTGTGTTTATGCCCTGGTGGCATGCAGCAGCAGTCCAGTCTGCATAAATAGAAACCTGTCAATGTTAGCTACAGTGATGGTAATGTCATGATATATTTTTTTTAATGACTGTGTGTGTGTGTGTGTGTGTGTGTGTGTGTGTGTGTGTGTGTGTGTGTGTGTGTGTGTGTGTGTGTGTGTGTGTGTGTGTGTGTGTGTGTGTGTGTGTGTTTGTTGTGTACTCTTAATGAATTCACAGTGTAACTTAAACCTTCCTAATTATTGCCTCTGTTAGCACAAGCACAGTTGGAAGTTGGACCTCTGCTGTCAAAAGGAGCTAAACAATCTCACCAGCTAAGGTTGCTCTTTTTTTTCTGTCTTTTTTACAAAGACTTTTTGAGTCACATGTTTAAAAATACACCCAGAGGTAAACGTCCAGCTGATAATGCACCACATTCAGACTTGCTTTACAAGATAAGAAACATTCAAAGTTTGGAGATTTAACTTTTAAAGTTTGTGAAACATGACACAAACCAGCTTTCATTGTTAAGATTAGCTTATCTCTACAGTAAGAGTTAAGATCCTATGTGGTCCAACTTCCAAATAAGCATGTTCTTATGAAGGTCAAACTGCTCATGTTCATGTAAGTTCACTGGCCCTCATTTATCAAGCTTGCGTACGGCAGAAAACTTGCGTACACCTTGCGTACAGAAATTTTGACGTGAGGATCGTCATTTATCAATCTGCACCTGAGCGTACGCTACGTCCGTAAAATAAAATAAAATAAAATAAATTTGTCATGTCCTTGGACCAGGCACCGCGGCCCTCCTCGACCGGGATACTGCGCCGCATGCTGCTGAAGGAGGCCGTCCCCTGTGCAGGGGACGGCAACATGTGAAGCCTTCAGCGCGTGCACATCAGCTCCTCGTCCCCTTTTCCCCCTGACCACGCTTATCATCTGAGACTCCATAACCAGGTACATCAGATTTTTTAATGCCATAACTCACTGTTTTCCCACAGTACCTGTCATCCAGAGGCCTGTACTACGAAGCTGGATTAACAAATCCAGGATAACTCTGCGACAACTCGCTCAACTTCACCGGATCTCCGCGATCCCGATCAGCTGTACTACGAAGCAGGATATCAACTCGATAACTGAATCCAGTTCAGATCTGTGCGCGCACACGTAAAGGGGGTCGGGTCAGTGCCACCGGACCAATCTCCACAATGGAGAAGGCTGCACGTCATTTTTCACAGCTGAAGAACAGAGCTTTATTTAAACAGTGAAACAGACACAGCCGCTAAAAGCCGAAGGGACTGCCGGCAAAAAAAATCACCGGTAGTGTAAATTACATTTGTGCGTTCATAAATTTATGGCCCCCTAATATATTGTCATGCAGCGTGTGTGATCACCACCATCACTGACCTCATTATTTAAGATACAACAGCAGTGGGTAAAAGAGTACGTGGGAGCAAATAAAAATAAATCTAAAAACATCCTTTAAAGTAGTTTGTAAGTTTATTGGATTTTATTTGTACATATTTCAACGCGTAAACAGTGATTTCCTCACACTGCCTTTTTTTTTTCTCCATCATCTGATGGTCACGTCATCTGCAGACACATTTGGGGTTAAGAGTTTTCTTATCTGCTTCAATGAATTCTGAAAGATGACTAACAAATTTGAACCTGGAGCTTGGCAAATATTAGTGTATTGCTTAGACTTCTTGCTACCTGAATATTGAGGCCGTCCGAGGAAAACCTGTAACGTTCATAGAGAACGTCATCAGGTAAATCAAACGGATTTGAACGATCATGAATATAACGCTCTCGGCGGAGCGCTCCTCTCACTATCCGTGCAACGATGTCCCCGGGATCCGCCAAAGTGGGCAAGCCATTTTCCAAGAGATCCGATTGGTCATCAGGCGGTTTTTTATACCTGCTGAGATCTTATCCTGAAACATAACCTGCTCCGGAGCAGGTTTGGCGTTCCGCGCAAGTTACCGGGGCAACGGACCCGGATAAAAAGAGATCCACCTTCGTAGTACAGAAAACCCAGAAGTTATCCAGAAGTTATCTCGCTAAGACCAAATCCAGCTTCGTAGTACAGGCCTCTGGACAAACTTCTTAATCTACTCCCCTCTCCCCCCTCCTCTGTCACTAAGATTGTGCTCCATGTCGACTCAAACGACACGTCCCTTAAGCAGTCCGAAATCACAAAGAGGGATTTTAACTTGCTTTTTAACATTTTAAAGGACACTGGAAAGACAGTTTTTATCTCTGGCTCGATCCCCACTCTTGGTCGTGGAGCAGAACATTTTAGCAGGATCCTCAGCCTCCATACCTGTCTCCAGTCCACATGCCCCGCCCACAACTTTGGTTTTATCGACAATTTTAATCTGTTTTGGGACCGAGCACCACTTTTCAGTGATGATGGGATCCACCCCAACGGGTGGGGTGGCCGAATGCTCTCCTACAACATCCAGTACATGATCCACTCCTCACCTGTCTGACAGTCTGCACTCAGCAGCCCATCTTTCCACACTCAGGCCACTCCCCCTCTTCCACACAATAACCTCTGGTCATCTCAAAACAGTCCCACAATCCCCGCTCATTCACCTGCCCCCCCACGAATACTATCAGTAAATCTGTGATTCCAGTCTACATCACATCCTCACGTCCTCCCCGTCCTCATCCACACCAGTCTCATGCACATCCCCCTGCTTCCTCGGCTACCCTGCCCTGCTCTTAACAGCAAATCTGCCAACTTTGGACTTTTAAACATCAGATCCCTCAACAACAAAACATTTTTATGCCATGATTTTATTTCACAAAACAGCCTTTTATTATTATTCTATTATTCTGACTGACACTTGGCTGACTCCAGTCAGGCCAGGGAGGGGGGGTGGCTGTCATATATAAGAAGGATTTTAAATGTATCCCCATCACCTTCAGCACTTTCAGTTCATTAGGGCACCTTGCTTTTATTGTTAAATTGAAAGATCCTGCTTTAATCATAATCATTTATCGACCACACAACACTGTTTTTATTCAGGAGTTTTCGGGGTTTCTATCCCTTTTTATTTGTAAATATGACAAAATTCTTATTTTGGGCGATTTTAATGTACATGTCTGCTGTCCCTCACAACCCCTAACTGTTGATTTCATTGAAACTCTGGACTCCTTTAATCTTACCCAGGCAATACGGGAACCAACTCATGTAAAGGAACATTGCTTAGATTTGGTTTTATTTACTGGACTTAGTCCTGGGGAGTTTTTAACTAAGGGTATCTGTTTGTCAGATCACAAACTGGTTTTATTCTCCATGGTTTTATCCCAGCCTTCTATTACTGATCACACTCTTGTTTTAAGAAGGGTTTTTAATGCATCGTCTGCTAGCAATTTTTAAGAGCTTTTTATCTCTTCATCTTTATCTGCCCTCAACCCAGATTTTAATCCAGTTTTAACACTGAAGAGCTTGTCTCTCTTTTTAACAGTGTGTGTGGAACCATCCTGGACTCTGTAGCTCCTCTGAAAAAGAAAAGATCTAACAAAGAACCCCAACCCTGGCTCACAGAGTCCACACATGAACTAAAGAGAATATGTAGAAGAAATGAACGCAAATGGAAGAAAACTGGGTTAGTGGTTTTCCTTGAAATTTGGAGAGACTCCATAAAAAACTACCGGAAGGCAGTTAAGGATTCAAGGGCAGCATTTTACTCAAATTTGATTTTAGCTAATTATTCAAACCCCAAAGTTTTATTTAGAGTCTCTCTCTTCCCCCCTCTTATTTTACTGATGCTTCTCAAGAAACCTGCGAGAAGTTTTTAATTCATTTTATTAACAAGGTTGTGGACATCAGGCATCAAACCACCCCTCCTAGTCTCCCTGTACTCTTAAGTCGGGAAGTTAAGCACTATTTTAGTAGTTTTGAGCCAGTGTCCTTACAATTTTTATCTGATATTTTAGCCAAAATGAAACCAGCTATGTGCAGTCTTGATTCTATCCCCACCGGATTTCTCAAAGAGGTTTTTAATGTGGTTGGGCCCAGCATTTTATCCATCATTAATAGCTCTCTAGTTGGGGGAGTATTTCCCTCTGCTTTTAAACACGCTGTGGTCCAACCACCAGAAGCCAAACCTTGTCCCCTCTGACTTTAACAATTTTAGACCAATTTCAAAACTTCTATTTTTATCCAAACTTGTAGAGAAGGTGGTTTCTAAACATCTTTTAGGTTTTATGTCTGAAAACAACCTCTTTGAGAAATTTCAGTCTGGTTTTAGAACAGGTCACAGCACTGAGACTGCCCTCCTTCGTGTGACCAATGACCTTTTAGCAGCAGATAGAGGGGAGGGCTCAATTTTAATTCTTTTAGATCTCAGTGCAGCTTTCGGTAAAGTTGATCATGCTACTTTAATTGAGCGTCTTAAAAACTGGGTGGGTATCTGGGGCTGGTTTCAGTCGTATCTTTTAGAACGAACCTTTGCGGTCACCATAGGCAATCACACCTCCTCTACTTCTGCTATCTCCTGTGGTGTACCGCAAAGTTCAGTTTTAGGTCCAATTTTATTTTCTATCTACATGCTGCCCCTCGGCCAATTAATTCAGCGTCACAAAGCCTCCTTTCACTGCTATGCAGGCGACACACAGATATACCTCCCTTTGAAACCTGAGAATCCAAGAGGCCTAGCTGTTGTCATGGACTGTCTAAATTACATTAACTGTTGGGTGGCACAAAATTTCCTTCAGCTAAATTGTTCAAAATCTGAAATAATTCTCTGTAACATACAAAATTCCCCCCTCATACAGTCTTGTCTCGGTCCACATTCAGTAATCATCAAACCAACAGCCAGAAATCTGGGAGCAACCTTCGATTCTGACCTCACCTTCTCCACCCACATCAACAAGATTGTCCAGTCCTGTTTTCTTCACCTGCATTCTATTGCAAAGGTTAAACAGATACCCACCCCACCAGATCTTTCATTTTCTCAAGACTGGACTATTGTAACTCTCTCCTCCCTGGTTTAAACAAGAAATCACTCTCTCGCCTCCAACTAGTTCAGAATGCAGCAGCTAGGCTTTTAACTGGTTTTAGCAGACGGCATCACAATTTTAGCCTCCCTTCATTGGCTTCCTGTCAGTTTTAGAATTGATTTTAAGATTTTATTGATTACTTTTAAAGCGCTTAAAGGACTTGCTCCAAGCTACATTTCGAATAGAATAGAATATTCCTTTATTGATCCCCCATGGGGGAAATTTCTTTTGTCACAGCAGCATCACAGACAAAGAGTGCAAAAAAATGCAGTTATAAAAATAAAGATCCTAATATTAAGAACTTAAATAAATGTAATAATCAAGAAAAAAATTAGAAAAAGGAAAAAGGGAGAAGAAAAGAAAAATAAAACTATCTACAATATACACAATTTAAATGCCAGAAAAAAGTGGTGGTGTAGATCCAGTTATTATTACAGTTCGTTGTAAAGTCTTATTGCAGAGGGGAGGAATGACCTGCGGTATCGCTCCATCCTGCAAGGTGGAAGTCTCAGTCTGCTGCTGAAGGAGCTACTTAAGGCGCCCACAGTCTGGTGCAGTGGGTGAGAGGGATTGTCCATGATGGATACAAGCTTTGTTAACATCCTCCTCTCACCCACCTCCTCCAGGGAGTCCAAAAAACAGTCCAGGACAGAACTGGCCTTCTTGACCAGTCCATTCAGTCTCTTCCTGTCCCTCTTGGTGCTCCCTGCCCCCCAGCAGACCACTGCATAGAAAAGTGCAGATGCTACCACAGAGTTATAGAAAGTCCTGAGCAGAGTCCTGCACACTCCAAAAGACCTCAGTCTCCTCAGCAGGTGGAGATGACTTTGGCCCTTCTTGTACAGTACGTCTGTGTTGGTTGACCAGTCCAGTTTATTGTTGAGGTGGACACCCAGGAATCTGTAGGACTCCACCATCTCGATGTCCAGACCCTGGATGTTAGCTGGAACAGTCTGAGGTGTCCTCCTCCTGCGGAAATCCACAACCATCTCCTTTGTCTTACTGGCGTTGAGCTAGAGGTGGTTTGTGCCACACCAGTTGACAAAGTCACTGATGACAGTCCTGTATTCCCGTTCATCCCCTGACGATACACATCTGACGATGGCTGTGTCATCAGGTAACTTCTGGAGGTGACAGCTCCCAGAGTTGTAGCTGAAGTCTGAGGTGTACAGGATGAAGAGGAAGGGGGAGAGCACTGTCCCCTATGGAGCCCCCGTGCTGCAGACCACCATGTCCGACACACAGTTCTGAAGCCTCACAAACTGTGGTCTGTCGGTGAGGTAGTCCACGGTCCATGCGACTAGGTGACAGTCCACTCCCGCCCTCTCGAGCTTCCCCCTGAGCAGTGAAGGCTGGATGGTGTTGAAAGCACTGGAGAAGTGAAAAAACATGACCCTCACAGTGCTGCCGGTATTCTCCAAGTGGGCCATGGACCTCTGCAGCAGGTAGATGATTGCGTCGTCCACCCCGATGTTCGGCTGGTATGCAAACTGCAGAGGATCCAGATGAGAGCTCACCAGGGGGCGGAGGTTCCTCAGCATGATCCTCTCCAGAGTCTTCATCAGGTGAAAAGTGAGGGCCACAGGTCTGAAGTGGTTGGGCTCCCTGGGGTGTGCTGTCTTGGGGACAGGAATCACACAGGAAGTCTTCCACAGTGTCGGGACCCTCTCCAGACTCAGGCTCAAGCTGAAGATGTGCGGTAGCACCTCACAGAGCTGGTCTGCACAGTCCTTCAGGAGTCTGGAGCTGATGCTGTCAGGACCCGTGGCTTTCCTTGGCTTCATCTTCCTCAGCTCACTTCTAACCTGGTCAGCTGTTATGGAGAGGCTGGGGGTGGTGCTGGAGGGGGTGGTGGAGGATGAGTGGAGCGGGGTTGATGATGCCGGTGCCATGGGACTGAGGTGGTGTGAAGAAGAAGCAGCAGACGGGTCGTTGGTTTGATGAGTCGGGGGAGGAGTGGGAGCAGAGTCAAATCTATTGAAGAACAGATTCAGCTCGTTGGCCCACTCTCTGTCTCCTGCTTCAGATCCCCTCTTGTGGCCATGCTATGACCTGAGATGGATTTCAGGCCTCTCCAGACCTCCCTCATGTTGTTCTGTTGCAAAAGCTTTTCCCTCTTGGTCTTGCAGCTGGCCTTTCCCTTTCTGATCTTCTTCTTCAGCTCCTCCTGCACCCTCCTCAGCTCCTCCTTGTCCCCAGAAGACCCTCCTCTTCTCCTTCAGGAGGACTTTATGTTCCGGCACACCCAAGGTTTGCTGTTGGAGAAACACCATACTTTCCAAGTGGGTACAGTGTTCTCAACACAGAAGTTTATATAGTCTGTGATACAATCAGTCATGGTGGCGATGTCATCACCATGTGGGCCGCACAGTACATCCCAGTTTGTGGTCTCAAAACAGTCCTGCAGCGCCTCAGTGGCCTCCTCAGACCACCTCTTAACATACCTGATGGTGGGGGGTTGTTTCTTCACCATAGGTATGTAAATGGGCTGCAGTCTCACCAGGATGTGATCTGAGCGGCCCAGCAGAGGGAGGGGGGAGGAGGGAGGTGTATGCATCTTAAGTGTTTGCGTACTGTAAGTCCAAAGTTTTATTGTCTCTTGTTGGGCAGTTTACATACTGGCTGAAGGTCGGGAGAGTGGAGGAGAGCAATGCATGATTAAAGTCTCCAGAGATGATGATCAGAGACCGAGGGTGTGATGTTTGTAGCTTGGACACTTCACTATGGAGGAGTTCACAGGCTGCAGCAACATCAGCCGAGGGGGGGATGCAAACAGTTAACACGATGACGTGCGAAAACTCCCTCGGCAGGTAATATGGCCGCAAACTCACAGCCAGCAGCCCAATGTCCTTAGAGCAGCGCTGCTCTTTAACACTGACGTGCCCAGCATTACACCATCTCTCATTCACATACACCGCTATCCCGCCTCCTTTCTTCTTACCACTCTCCCTCATGCTCCGGTCCGCTCCGACGAGGTGATATCCGTCCAAAGTTACGAGCGGGTCCGGAGTGAGTTCAGCCATGACTCTGTGATCATCATGAGGCTGCACTCCAGATACTCTCACTGCAGCCGAGTCAACGCTGTGAGCTCTTCCATCTTGTTAGGGAGAGACCTCACGTTTTCCATGATGATGGACGGGACAGTTGGTTTATAACATCCCGCTTTGCCCGATGCTGAACTCCAGCCCTGCATCCTCTTCTTCTCCTGCAGAGCTTAGCGGGGATGTCCGGTCTCTCCCACGAAGGTGGCCGGGCTTGGCGCAGCGCCAACAGCTGTTCACAGCTGTAAACAATGGGGCCGCTGAACGGGTCGCCGAACGCGGACTTAAAAACTCTGAAAAGTAAAAGAAAACAAAGTGCTAGAGTCATGAAATGCACATCCATGGTTGGAATATGCTTGGATGGAATAACACTGCCAAAAAAAA